TGCGCGGCGGCGTTCGGTGCTGGCCGAACTAGATCGAGGGGAGAGAGTTGGGGGGGGGTGCGGTAGCGGCTAGGTTTGACCGAGGGGTGGGGTTATGGGGGAGTGGGGGTGGCCGGCCTGGGCCTGGCCTGGCTAGCAGCTGGGCCGGTTGGCCCAGTGGGGGGTTCTGTTTTATTTTACTTTTTGTTTTGTATTTCTTTTTCTTTATTTATTTTATCTTCTGTTTGGATTTTTTTGAGCATCAGTACAGACACAAGCGCTCATATACACGCGCATACACTCACCCCTATAAACGCACACACACACCCTACCCCTATGAGCACCTCCGAGAGACTGAGCCGGCATATCATCTTGAGATTTACGAAGTCACCGTAGGCGCCTCGTCGTCGACGGAAACGTCTTCTCCCACTGAAAGCGTATCGCCGGAAATCCTGAAATAAATCCAGGAATAATGCGAGCACCAGGATTTGAACCCTGGTGGGTTGGGATACCACTGTCCACCTAACCAACTCAACCACAGGTTGATTCGCTCCTCTGTTTGGATTTTAGTTCCACTTTATTTTTACTTAGAAAAACATGACAATAGCTCCTAAATTAACTTTTCAAAACAACCCTCATCCACAAAAGGTTTTAACCCAAAATAAAATAGTTTAGTGTTTTTTTATAAAATACCAAAGGCATTTAAATAATGTTTTTGCTACCGTTTAAATCATTTCAGTGCATTTATACATTATATAAAAGTGTGGATTCTTCATCATAAGTATCTATGCATTAACTAGCACAACCCGAACATTTTGTTTTGTATCTTTGAATTTTTTTGATGTTTACCTTTAATTAAATTTTGAATTTGAATCGGTTTTGAACTAGCCCGAGATCAACTACAGTGACTGAGGTGACGTGGCATCATTAACGGGGGATTACTGTAGCCTAATTATCCGGGCGTCACAGAACTGCAACAAGACAGGGTTGCAGCCATTCTTCAAACTTAACCCGGCTCCTCCGGTGAGTATACATATATACATTTGTTTGGCTTATCAATCCTTGCTTATCCGGATTTCCACTTGTTAAAACTTGTCTAACTATGCAGGCCGACTCTCCATTCTAGAAGAAGAATAAAACACATGCAAACAAGACTAAGACTGCTCCAGCTGAAAGGAAAAAATAAACCTGCTGCTGTGAATGCGCCGGCTGCTAAGGGCGGGTCACCAGCAGCTGATAATCAGTTGGAGGTAGAACTTGACTCACTTGGTCGTCTTTTTATTGAACTTGTTCACGGTTCTTATTCTCAAGATGATGCTGCAACAAGCGGGGCTAATGATGATGAGGTAATTTCCATCTCTTCCGGCTCTGAATCCTTATCTCCAAAGAAAGCAAGGCGGGTCATTCGGAAAGTAAGATTTTCTCATCCAGATGCTCAATTAGATACAAACTTTATTTTGAAGAAAACCTAGCATGAATCAAGGCGCCAAACCCGGAGCGGCTCTGAAGAGCTGCTGGTCGGCTTATCTCATGAACCATCTGCTTGCAGGCGACGTAACGAGGTGCCACATAGTCCAACTTATTTTCCATGAGCCCGCCTTATTAGGCAACCTCTTAATCTCTCTGATTCCAATGCCAACAACGATGGTAATGAAGTGAGGCATCTTACCTTTTCTTGATTCATGTTCTTGTTTTTTCGAGAGTACGCAAATTGCATATCGTAGCTTTATAGAAGATAGAGAGCTATTTACAAGAGTTTAGATGCATCGAAGCCACATGTCGGCTGAGGCATGGAAGACACTCCACTCCTACTCCTGCAATCTCACACTACTACTCACACCACACACTGACTCCTTTTCCTCCTACGAGTGTCCACAAATGTAGTTCTTCAAAGATCTTTGTGACTAGCTCCGTGGCAATCATCCAACTGGAATTATCGCGAAACACGCGGTTGTTTCTTTGTTTCCAGAGGCTCCAGCAAACTAGGATCACAAGTGAGTCGAAAGCACGGCGGTGTGTGTTGTGGATGTGTTTGCGAGTAGCACCCCACCAAGTCTCTAGAGTGGTGTTACCTTCGGGAATGAGTAGTGTATCTATCCTGCTCCTAGAGAAGGTCATGAACCATACTTGCTTGGAGTAGGCACATTGAGTCATTATGTGGTCTACGTTGTCCTCTTCTTGGTCGCAAAGAAAGCAAGCCGATGTTTGTTCTTGCAGACCATGTCGCAGCCTATGGTCAGATGTCCAGACATGGTATTGCAAAGCTAGCCACATGAAGATTTTGATGGGTAAAGGCGCCTAGCACTTCCAGATCCAGCTAGCAAAAGTGGCCTTAATTGCACCCATGAAGAGCATCTTGTAAGCCGATGCAGAAGTGTAGACTCCACGTTCATTCCATGGCCAGATCGCCTCATCTTGCTGGTTAGGGTTGAGCTGCACGTTCAACATGATCTCCCAAAGCCGGATTAGTTGGATTAGGCCATCTGTGGACAACTCTCATGTGATATCCGATGCCCATCTATGGTTCAGCAACCCATCCTTCACCAATCTCTTGTTAGCGGTTTGGGTGCGAATTAGCTTCTTGATATCTGGTGCAATGTCATCGATCAAGGCCCCATCAATCCATCTGTCCTTCCAAAATAGCACCTTATCTCCAGATCCTAATCTCCAATGCACCAAACTGTTGAAAGCTATCTGAACTTGCGGGTCGCATGTCATCGGCAGACCGTGCCAGGGTTTAGATGGATCGGTGCGTCGCAGCCACTCCCAACGCAGTCTCAAAGCCAGACCATGTCTTTTTAGGTCCATGATGCCGAGGTTGTCCAGCTCTTAGGTCTACATACCTTTTGCCAAGAGACTAAACACTGCCCTCCATGAATCTGCTCTGTTCCTTCCTAGAAGAAGGCCCGACATCTCTTGTTCACACACTCGATAGCCCATTTTGGTGCATCTGCCAAAAGAAGAAGATGCGTCGGCCTTGCCATTACGATGTCATGAACGAGAACCAGCCTGCCCGCGCGAGTGATAAGTCCTTGTTGCCATCCAGGGAGGAAGTTCAAAACGTTGTCCACGATCGGTTGCCACTCTGCTCGAGTCAGTTGCCAAATAGAGAGCTGCAGCCCAAGATATTTGCATGGGAATTTGTCCATCTTCCATGGTAAGGCTGCTGCTACAAGTTCTTTGTCTCCCTCCTCCTCGCGGATCAGAATTGCCGCAGATTTAGCAAAGTTAATTTTCAGTCCCGATGCCCTCCCAAATATGAGCATGGCCTCTTGGACGAACCAGAGATCAGGAGGGGAAGGCCGGATAAACAACACCACATCATCAGCATATATCGAGATTCTTTGCATCGGGGAACAGCCTGGCATCTTACTGAGGACTCCCATCTCCTGGGCTTTAGGTACGATCGATGTCAGGACATCCATGGCGATGACAAAGATTAGGGGAGAAATCGGATCGCCTTGTTTGAGACCTTAGGCATGCATGAATTTTGGCCGAGCGTATCCATTGACTACCACTCTAGATGAAGCCGTGAGTAGGGTTGCAATCCACGAAAGCCAAAGATCAGGGAATCCCTTGGCCCTGAGAACTTCAAATAGGAAGGGCCATGCTATGGTGTCGAAAGCACGTGATATATCAAGTTTAAGCATAACTCCCTTGGCCTTCCTACGATGAAGGGATCTGGCCACCTGTTGATCTAGCACGAAGTTGTCATGCAAGTTTCTCCCTTTTGTGAAAGCCGATTGGTTGGCTTGAACAAGTTCACCCATGCGAGGACATAGCCTTTTAGACAGAAGTTTCGAGCAGATTTTGGGCAAACTATGCACCAGCGTTATGGGCCTAAAGTCTCCAACATGGCAGGCGTCCGGCCTCTTGGGAATGAGAGTAATCAAGGCCTGGTTGAGCCGGCCAAAGCCATGCCCATTATCCATGAAGATTTTGTGTATCACTGCCATAATATCATCCTTGATGATGCTCCATGCTTTCTGGAAGAATATTCCAATAAAGCCGTCAGGACCGGGGCACGGTCCGAGGGCATCTCCTTGATAGTTGCCCACACCTCCTCCTCTGTAAATGTCACGGTCTGATCCTCCAAGTTTGAAGGTGTGATGCCTAGAAAGTCTAGGTCCAGAGTGTGCTCGTGAGCTGTGGTCATACCCAGCAACTCCTTGTATGAATCATAGAAGATGCGTTCCTTGCCAATTTGATCTTGTTTCGGATGGATGGATGCCAATGCCCCGTTCTTCATTTTCTCGTTCATCCAAACCGTTGCCATGGCCAGAGGGCTGCCCAAAAGCCGCAGCCTCGGACGACGTCGTCTCCACCGCTTGAGAAGGACTCGCCAGGCAAGTCCACCGGTACATGCTGCCACGCACGGCTCCGTCGACCATCCAAACCGTTGCCATGGCCAGAGGGCTGCCCAAGAGCCGCAGCCTCGGACGACGCCGTCTCCACCGCTTGAGAAGGGCTCGCCAGGCAAGTCCACCGGTACATGCTGCCACGTCAGCTCCGTCGACCAGAGGGAGGAGCATTGTGCCATCGTCGCGATGTGCGGAGGAAGGAGCGTTGTGCCTTCGTCGCGATGCGACTCGATGTGTGGTAGTGCGTCGCCGGAGAGTGTGTCGCTCTGCCAAGAGCATGCTGATATATGATTCAACAACCCCTCCAGGAGCAACCGTGCTGCGGTTGCCAAAGGGAAGGGTGGGGACTAACCTTAATTAACATTTAGTTAATTAATCTTAACAGTTAAACTACCAAAGTACACACAGAAATCCATTTCAAAAAATAAAAGTACACACGGAAATTATACCCAAACAACAAAAGACGTACTAGAAAATAATAGCAATATCTCAGTCTAAGTTACATACTACTAATTGAGATGGTAGTACACACCAAAACAACAAGATCACTAACTCCTCACAACTACAACCTGGGGTTACATCAACCAAACATTACCACGGTTTTTACATCCAGAAAGCCACCGGAGTCTTAAGCGTCGACAAACTAACTTCAGATGGCACCCTGTTGTACCGAGTCTGGATGCTTTTGCCCATCGTTAGGTCTCCATACTTGTCATATTTGAGAGAAAATGTCATCAATCGCATGATACGCTCCATCTCATTCACACCGAAGTACTCAAGGAGGCAAAAAGTGCTCCCACCACCCATGCTAAGGAGGGTGGCTCCGATGGGCTCCTGATCTGTAAAATGGCAGCAGCTCGGTTTGTCCACGCACACCTTAAAGGGAAGGTCCACATAATGCTCAACATGCACAGCATCAGGTTCTTCAGATACCACATCAATTGCGAAGATCCGTCTGTGTTTGCCAAGCCCAACCCAGAGATCCAACTCAGGGACAAAGTAAGCACGGCCAATGAACGACATCCTCCAGCGGCCATGACGCTTCCACTCACCATCACCTTCCATCTCCGTGTCAAAGCTGAAGGTGGCAGGGTCATGCTCTCCTGTGCTGACAAAGATGGTGTGTTGATCGCTATGCACAGCATAGCAAGTTACAAGTTCGTGCAAAAAAGGCGGCTCCGGGAGGGTGTGCCACGTCCACACAAAGTCATCCCAGTCAGACTCATCTTCTGGCGGCGGATAGAGCAGCTGGAATGAGCCAGCAGCAAGAGCAAAGAGCCTGCCACCAACAGGAATATAGATGGGGTCAACAGGAATACAGATCCCGAGATCAGAATAATCCGTTGTAAAATAAGTACTCCCTCCGTTCTGAAATAGATGACTCAACTTTATACTAAAGTTAATATAAAGTTGAGTCACCTATTTTGGAACGGAGGGAGTAATAACTAATTCATCCACAATCCTACTCCTATTGCGCAACTTCAATTGACAAATCTAACGTCAGAATCTGGATGGAGGGAGTAGGCGAAAAAGTACTCGGAAGAAAGTCGCATCTACGAACCTCAAATCGAAGATGAAACAGGCGGCGGCGACGAAGGGGGTGGGTTTGAGACGGAGGATTGGTCGAATATAAAAGCGCAACGTGAAACCCTAATAGGTCCGAATTCGATGAATAGAGGACCCAATAAGGCTAAATGGGCCAGCCCAAATAAGTGTATCCTGAAATCCGATTTAGGAACTTTTCTTGCTTTTTAGATTTTTTTCCACTTTATCTGTTTTTTATGTCTACTCCTAAAGGGGGGTTCTTTTTGTGAAAGTGTTATATATATACCTACTTAATTTTTAAGGCAGTCAGTAGGTCGTTCGTTTGTTGGCACTCCCCGTCGATCGAAGGCCATCACCATCCGATATTTCTCTGCACGTCATGTCCTCTTAGTTTTATTCAGCACATTTTTCCTTCTAAAGAAACCCACCTCATCCTGATCTCCCATCCACATCAATATCATCCCCGCCTCATCCTCCTCGATGTGATGCCCTAACCCCGGCTGCCATGGCTCACATGTTGTGGTCCTGGACCTCCAACCCTGGCCAGAACTCGCTGGCGCTAGCCCACGTCTGGGCACTCCTCATCGCGCAGTCCTGCACGCATCTCTGCGCCTTCAAGGACCACACCGTCCTCCCCATCGTTGTTGCCTGCTGCATGTCAATGCTAACCAACGCCCACGCCGCTGCCACATACGGCTCGAACTGATTCACATGGTGGCCGAGGCCGTGGGAGGCACTGCGGCGACGTCAGAATTCGTCTTCCTCCATGTCTCTGACCTCACCGCCGCCGCCGCCATGGCGCTAGCGCCCCCTCCTCATCGTCCAAGGCGTGGCTGGAGCTGGTGGGCGGCAAGAGGCCAGCCATCGGAGAGGACACGCATAGGGACCATGCTCGAGGAGACGTGCACGCTCGCCGCCGCCGCCATAGCATTGGTGTCCTCCTCCTCATCCAAGGCATGGCTGGCGCTGGTGGGTGGCAAGAGACTTGGATCAGGACAATGACAAGGTGTTCGGGAGACTCCTTTGAATCAAGGTCTTCCTGCTCAACACCCACACGCCACATAATTTACTTAAGAGATTAGATTATTTGTTTAGGTTATAATACATATAATGCAGAGGTCTCAGGGTATAAGGTGCACCAATAAGTCTTGGGGTCATATTTTGCATTTTGATTACTGAATTATGAAAGATACGATGCTTGCACCAAATTTCAGTGTCATGATAATTTTCTCTTCACGAAAAGATTGAAACATTGCTCCTACAATTGTGGTACCTGTTTGGTGCAATGGAAGGTTACACGTAAGCTCACTTATCACACGAAAGCAACGGTAAAAATGATTGGTCCAGTGTGCTTCACAAAATTAACTTGCCACTACAACACAATTTACAATTTATCAATTTTGAGTCTAAGTTCCATTTTATTGATGCGTCCTTTATACAATGATTGTTGTATTATTTTCGGTTAGATACTACCATGTTTCTTACATTGTTGTATTATTGGCTCAAGATGATGAGAATGTTAGGTCAGTTCGACAACACTGATTCATACACTACAGAAAAAACACTTTTGTGATGATACATTTTTGTCACAGTAGGTCACGTTTTCTGTCATGCATGTACATCCATGACGATTTTATGACAGAATCAAGATAGTCATACTTGTGCTATCGTAGGAGAGTTTGTTTTGGTGCCCACCGTGTATGAATCGGGGTGAGAGGCGATTTCGGCCAAGGAGAAACTGTGTTTTGGCACCCACCGTGTATGAATCGAGACGAGAGACGGAGGCGGTTATGTCACGTTTGAGTGAAATTACAATCCTACCCCTATCGAAACCTATAGAAATCAAGCCAATAGGCTTTTTGTGTCAAGGATAGGCAGTAATTCCCATCTCCCATATTTTGGTTTTGGGCGGTTACTGCGAGTTTCGCTGCTTCGTTCAAACTTTTGGAGAAAAAGCTTGCATGTTTACCGTGCCAACTCAATTCAAATCCATTTTATATTCTTTTTTTCGGGCAGGATCAATTTTTTATTCGAATACAAATCTATATACATCATTTTTTATATATACTTTCAAAAGCACAACAAAGAATTATGCTCCTTTATATATAAAATATGATCTACAAATGCAATGATCTCAAAATCATAAGATTGAATTCAAATTTTTGAAACCAAATTATGTTCAACTTTGAATTCATTTTTTAGAACATATTATGTTCAACTCAAATGTATGCATCAGTAATATCAAGATATTAAATAACATACACGCGCGCAAATTCAAATGAGTATGCATGTTTGATAAATCAATTTTGGTTCTAGTATAAACTACATGTATCATTATCTCCAATTCAACTATTTGAATCCTTTTTATGTTGACATCTTCTATACACGCAACTAAATATTTGAATCTCCTTTCACGCCCATCTCTCTCTAGGTTTCTCTCGTGTGCTCCTTCAGGTACCTATCACTCTCTTTTCTCCATGTCATCGACACGCTCACTACACGTTTCTCCCTTTTTCGCAAACACGGTCTCTCACTGTCTCTCTCAAGAAGTGTAACACTCTCTATCTTTATAGATTACACGGTTTTCATTATCTCTCACGCCTATCATTCTCTGGTATCCCTATAGCTACCTAAGCTTTCTTTTTCACCGCCTCACACACACACACTCGTCTTTCACTTTGTCTTTCTCTCTAGGGTTCTCTAACGCACCCTCTATCTTTCTAGATATGACTCCTAGCACTAAAATTACTCTCTCTCTCTCTATCTCTTGCACACACACCGTCCGTTGGGGTCTCCTTTCCGTCTTCATCTCCGTTTCAAAACTGACATTATTCATTTGTTTACCGATCAGACAAACTCTCTCTCTTTCTACCTCTATCCCTCTCTCCCTCTCTCTCATACGCACACACAACTCCCGCTTTCGATCCCCCTACCGACTACCGTCTCTCTCACTCGCACACAAAACTCTCGCTTTCGCACCCCCCTCTCATATCTCTCTCACAAACATTGATCGACCAACCTCTATATAAGTTCATCCATCTACCGCACACTCTCGCTTCCACTCTTTCGCGCTCCTTGTATCTATGTAGATTTTTTGTCCCTTCTTGAGACACGCCCTCTCGATCGTGCACACACACACACACACACACACACACTATCGCCTCATTTTATGGTGATACCTCTTGCACACACACTCTTCGTGTCTTTGTTTTTTCAAAACAGTTCTTCGTGACTTTGTCACACACGCACTCCGTCCTCCTCCTCTGTCTCCCTCTCTCTCACACACACATTGGATTTTTGCAACAATATCCCACTTCTCGAATCTTGAAACCAACCACATTCCTCCCTTATCTCATCAAAACAGCCAAAGGAATATATTTTGAGTGAAACATAAGATATTTTTAGTGATATATGTATCAGAACTAGACTGTTTTCTATCAATTGGTGAATATGTATTACTCTACTTTGGATGCGTTGCAACGCATTGACACATTGCTAGTTATTATTGTATTACTTTTTTGGATACCAGACAAATGCTCGAGTGCATATAAGAAGAGAAGAGGCGCACGCACACAGCCGGTCTCTCGTTGTTTCGCACACATGAGAGTTACGTAAGGCACGGTAAACAAATAAACCCATAGGTGCATGATTGCTGCATGCGCGGATACCGGGTACGTGGTGGAGCGAACCTTTGTAGGAATAGTCAACTCGCGTGATAATTTGATCCGTAGGAGTTGATAGTCGGGGACCACAGGTGAACAACCTAGAGGCGATGGCTTGCCAGTCGTCACTGATCGAGTTGCCATGTTTAACAATCATTTTTTAGCGGGGTAAGAGTTCCAATTTTCATTGGTTGAAGGAAATATACCCTAGAGGCAATAATAAAGTTATTATTTATTGCCTTATTTCATGATAAATGTTTATTATTCATGCTAGAATTGTATTAACCGGAAACATAATACATGTGTGAATACATAGACAAACAGAGTGTCACTAGTATGCCTTTACTTGACTAGCTCGTTGATCAAAGATGGTTAAGTTTCCTAACCATAGACATGAGTTGTCATTTGATTAACGGTATCACATCATTAGGAGAATGATGTGATTGACTTGACCCATTCCGTTAGTTAGCACTTGACCGTTTAGTTTGTTGTTATTGCTTTCTTCATGACTTATACATGTTCCTATGACTATGAGATTATGCAACTCCTGTTTACCGGAGGAACACTTTGTGTGCCACCAAACGTCACAACGTAACTGGGTGATTATAAAGGTGCTCTGCAGGTGTCTCCGAAGGTACTTGTTGGGTTGGCGTATTTTGAGATTAGGATTTGTCACTCCGATTGTCGGAGAGGTATATCTGGGCTCACTCGGTAATGCACATCACTATAAGCCTTGCAAGCATTGCAACTAATGAGTTAGTTGCGGGATGATGTATTACGGAACGAGTAAAGAGACTTGCCGGTAACGAGATTGAACTAGGTATTGAGATATCGACGATCGAATCTCGGGCAAGTAAC